ACGGCTGTACTTCAATGATAACGCTCATGTCTAACACAGGACAGAGGAATTACACCCTGGAGGCACCTATGTCTTGGAGCCACGGATACATTCAGCAGAGCTTCAGCCAGCTCTGCTGCAGATGTGGGCAGCAAAGTGAGATGAATCCCACCACTGAAACTTCCCCATGGGCCAGCCCTGGAGAACTGCCTGCCAGCAGGCGCTCCTCGTAGGGGCCAGGTCTTGCTGCTTCTGCACAGATCATCTCCCAGGTGCTGTCCCCAAGGGCTGGCGCAGACCGCATAACCACAGCAGTGTGGTGCAACCAGACAGGGCAGATTGTGTGGTCAATCTTGTTTGAAAGGGCTGGAAAGCTCTAGGAGGGCTCTGTGTGACCCACAATGGAGAAAAGTCAGTGTTACCATCTTTTGCCGGTCTTGCTTTCTTTATCCAGTCCGTCAGGTGTCTCACAAAGTCAAAGAAGAAATCTCCCTCGGGCACACTGATGACCTGGGCAACACAGCACATGGTTACAAAGGCTGAGCAAATGGCAAGAGGCCATAGGCAGGGTTGGCCATTGCCCCATCTCCTGTAGTTTTTGCTCACTGCCTTGTCCCAGTTACACTGATGTGTTACAAACTGCTGACGTGAGAAAGCCACTGCCAGCAGCTTGCTGCAGGCTCTGTCTCTAATTTCACCCATTACTCCTTATTGCAGCTTCTTGTTTCACTGGACCAATTAATTTCCCTTCATGATGACTATCTCCATAGATTTCTCCCAGTTGCCTGAGGCAGCTCAAAGCTGCACTTTTTTCTTACTTAGTCCTTTCTTATAAACCTGACTCAGCAACCGGCTAGGAGAGTTTTGCCTGTCTGTGTTTTAAGCCCTTTGGGATGATTGCTGTAAGTCAGGGCTGTGGGACTGCAAATCTCACCTGTAACAGGTTGGATCTGACTTAGAAACACCACACTGCTTGCAGAGAAATGTGTCTCATCTGTGAAGGTGCAGATAGGTCTGGCTCCACCAATGTGTACCCACTGGCAGGTGGGTCACCCTGAGTGCCTCGGGTCTACCCCAGCCTCTGGGTGGGTCACTCACCTTGTCAGAGATTTTGACGAAGAGGCTGAAGCCCTCAGAGGACTTTAGGAGCAGCCTGTTGGAGATGTTCTGGCAGAAGTCCTTGGCTTTTGTGCTGGACTCCACCTCAAATGCCTACAAAGAAAGGAAGAACCTCACCACTGCTACCCCAAGGTTAATTTCCACTTTATGCTTTGAGGAATGCTAGGGTCAGACACATGAAGGGATTTAGGTGCCCACCACCAATGAAATTAGCGGTATTGTGGATTGTGGCTCTGGGCATGGGAAGGGACATTTGCAGAAGCTCAGCCATGCTACTGCTGTACCTTTGTGCTTTGTGATGCTCTAGCTATATCCTGTGCTGGCTTATCCAGGGCTCCCCAGGCAATGCAAGAGGTTTTTCTTATCTAACAGTTAGGTCTCAGAGCTATTTGTCTAGTGGAAGGGGGAGAGAGAGAGATACCTCCAGGATGGTTTGTCCCAACTGTCTCTCCACTGATGATGAGGAGGTCAGACGCCTAGCTTAGACCAAACACCTGACTTCTGGATAGCTGAAGAGAGGGGAGATGACTCCTGCTTTATGTGTGGATGGGATATCTAAGGGACTGTCCCACCTGCATGCAGGTCCCAGCCCCTGTTTTGCCTTTTGAGCCGTGCTCAGCATTTACCTCACCTCAGTTTTGCTCTGCCCACTTAAGGAGATTCAATTCAAGCAGTTTAAGGAATTTAAACTTCTGACCACCACATGCAGGACTGTGTTAGCCTGAACCACCAAACCACCAGGATCCCTATTCCATATCCCATGAGAGACTGGCCTGGAGGTCAGTGCCGCTAGTGTTCAGCAGCCCTTTGGTGCAGATGTGTGTTATACCGGGATGATGCTCCTCTGTCAGTCCCCCTGTGTGACTGTCATGGCCAAAAGGATCACAGCAAACTCATCTAAGTGCAGAAGTCCCCACTGCTTCCTTCTACTGGCTCTCACACAGATGCATGTCTATAAAGCAGTGTCATGCTTATTGCTGGTCATGTAGAAAAAATACTCAAAGCGAGGAGAAATCCCAGCAGTTCTCTCAACTCTCCATTAAAGACAAACAAGGGCATGCACAGCTGCCTGAGAAGAATCATCCTTTTCCTTCTATGGGTGTGCACTGCTTTACACATAAACCCACTAGGAAATACAGGAATTTAGTTGTGCCCTAGGGCATGAGGGGAGAAAGAGATGCAAGTCTCACAGGAAGACAAGTAGCATGAGACAGCAGTATCTGCAAGGACATGCATACTGCTCTGGCATCAATATAACTACCTGCCTTATTAGACTGTAAGATGCTTAATGAGAGGTTCCTGAGTGCAGATATGATTTCTGTGTCATCTCAGGTCAGAAAGTATAATTTCAGTTACCTACTTGCCAGTGCTGCCATAGTCTGCCCAGGGAGCCCCATCACGATACCCCGCTGGGTAGAGTTGGGTGGACAGTATCTGTTGGTCTAGGCTGCCGATATCCAAGGCTTGTGAACCACTGAGACTGAATGGAGATGAACCCACCCGGTTTCCTTCTTTCTGGGGTCATACTATAAAGCCTCCAGTGAACAGCAGCACAGCACTCACATCTTGAAAACGGTGAATTGCAGTAAATCAAAAACCTGAGCTGGTCGGGATAGATAAGGATGGGTTTTCCTTACACTGCTCTTGTCCAGAGTCTTCTGGGAAGGCTGAGTTTTTCTGATTCAGAATCAATATTAGCCTCTTCTGAGATTTTCTTAAGAAAATTGACATCCATCCTGACAGAAAAGAACAACTTCCTTCTCCCCCATTTACCTCATCGGTGTCATCAGGGAAGTAAACCTTGTGGAAAATTTGGGTGGTTTTGTGTTGAATGGCTTCCACTTCTACCAGATGAGGTGGGTACTTCCTGGATCCATTCCTGCAAAACAGGAGGTGGCAAGTGCCACAGCATCAAAGCAAGAATCCTTTGTTTAAATCTTCCATTTTTATACATATTGTTTTATGAGTAACTTTGCCTACTTCCTTAATATTAGGTTTCCCCCCACCTAAATAGAAGAAAGAAAAATTGTAATGGGTAATGTGTATTTGCTTAGGTTGTAGGTGACTTAAATGGACCTGGCAGGACAAAGGTGACTTAATTAGTATCTGGTTTTCCCCTGTCAGTTTACCAGCGACATTTTCCACCCGATGTCCCTTTCATTCAGGTCAGTTGAATGCAGAGAGAAGTTGTGAGCTTTCACTGTCCCCCCAACTACCCCAATATCTCCTGCTCGTATTTTCTCATGCATATTTGGATGCTGTGGCATGGTCAGGACCAGGAGGCCTTTTGGTGCCATACCTCAGGGCTTTCTGGAGTCTCTGGATGCAGTCTGCCGCCAAGGGGTGATGTTTCCGGGACTGCAGGAACCTCTGGACATGGGGCAGGAGGATGTTGCTTGGAGGGAAAAGGCCTGTACACAACCACAACAGCTCCCAGCCTTTCTCTTCACTGTACCTACACAAAGAGAGACCCAAGAGGAAAAAAATCACTCATGGCGTGGACCCTTCAGATCTGCTTTGCTCAACACACGCTAGTGCATTTAGGCCAAGGGGAACGAACACTTCTTACTTGATGTGGTTGTCTGTGAGCTGCTTGAGGGTCTGGCAGTAGATTTCATCCTTCAGGGGTTCGGCTTTCAAGGCACCTTCAAATATTTGGTCTGTCAGCTCATTGACCGAGCGGGTCCTTTTGGATGGGTAGTCACCCATATACTTCAGCACTGGTGGAGGCAGGCATCAAGGATCAGCTAACTGGGATGTCTGGAGAAGCCTTTCTGTTGATGATGCGATTAAAGACATCGTATACATGACTACAGTAATGGTTGCAATTTGGTGGAGCTGGAACAGTGTATGGTAAAGGCTTTAAATTGCTTTAGGAGATATCCAGAGAGCTCTCTCCTTTTATCATGCATCATGTCACATTGAAAGAATTGCTTTGGGGTCAGGATGTGTAGACCTAAGAAAGCTGCGTGTGATCATGTGTTACCTGATCACACATACAGATACCACTGTAAAAGACCGGATTTTCAGCTGGTGTCAGACACCAGTGGAGATGCAGTAACATAAACCAAATGACAGTCTTCACCATCATGCCATATTGCAACTATTCTGCATGAGAACAAGCCACAGTTTTCTGAATTAACATGTGTGACGCAGCAAAAGGGAAAGGGCTTCCGCAGACAGTGAAAGGATATCAATGAAGGCCATGCAGGCTTCTTGGGACAGCTCCTCGCTGCCCAGGATCTTCTTCAGCAATGGCTGTTTGATGGGCTCACGGGTGTAACACCACAGTTTGTCCTTCCCGCGGCTCTTGGTGATCATGACCCGGCTCAGGGTGTGCTTGGGAGGTGGTCTGGTGGCAAAGGCAAAGCAGAAGGAAAGGTGGAAAAGTTACAAAGATATAATGGCAATTTGTGGCCAATGTTTCACCTGGGAAACATTGCACCTGGCTTATGAACTCTTACACCAAATGGAAATTCACAGTTTAGCAAGTATCCAGCTCCGGTTCTGCCCAAAGATAACCATTTGTACTTTCCTAGGTCTCCAAAAAGTCCCTTATAGACCCTACCCAAGTACTGACACCAAAACAACCTTCTCTATGCCAAAAAAAACCCACAAGAGAAAGGATGATGGCAATGGATGGTCAGGGCAGCAACACTGAAAGAATAATGCCTAACAGAACAAGCCTACCAGGGTGAAGACATCCCAGAGGATCTGGTCTACCTGTTTGGATTGACAGCCCATCTAAACAGGAGTGGGAGTTTTGGGATCAGTCTGGTCAGCTGTGGTGCACTTTTAAATCTTTGGAGCTGAGATGAAAATTTCCACACTTAATTCAGCTGCTGCCTATATGGTCTGAGGCTGCCTATGTTCTATGGGATCATAGAAAAGGAATATCAGACCTTAAGCACATCCTCCCACATAATAGTAAATTTCACACTGTTACTTGTCTTATGCTGAGCCAATCTGAAGAAATCCTTCATAAAATCTTGTTTGTGGAAAACCTAGAGCTCTAATGCCTTGACCTAAACTGGAGGTTGCAGTTGTACAAAGTCACACAAAGGGACTTTCAGAGTTTTTTCCAGTAGCCAAAAATTTCCTGATTCCCAAGCTACCTGCAGCTGTATTCCTACTCATATAATTTCTGAAGATGGTTTAAAAAAAAAAAAATCACCTAAAATAATCATAGGAAAACTCCTCCAAGGTGTATGGCTTCACCCTCTCTTCACTGTCTGAAATTGCCAGCTGAGACGTTCTGATAACATCTTGTCGTTGGTCAGGGGTCATTGTGACCAGTGCCTGTGGGATGAAAAGGTCTCTGTCACCCAGTATATTTGATATAATATATCTCTGATGTATTCAGAGAGAGGAAGCAGATACAAAATGAAAAGAAGAACAGTGAGTAAGAATAACCCATTAATTCCAGTTAATAGTCAGTAAGAACTGTGCAATTGTAATTTCTCTGTGCCATTCTCAGTCACTAATGCAAGGAATAACAATTGTTTCCATGATGTGGATCATTTCCTACTGAAGATAATATGCTTTTGGTCCTACAGCTCCATACGTGAATGTGCCTACCAACCCCAAATACACCTACAAGTAATCAGGCCAGCTACAGGGAAGTAGCAGGGTTCATGGATATTCCAAGTCACAAGCTTGTGGTGTTCAACAACCAGAGAAAAGGCTGAGATCACTTCTGCCTTGTCACCTCTCAGCCACTCTGGTATCCACCTTATTGTCAGGGAGACTCTGGCCAGATCTAAGCTCTTCAGAAAGGGTTTGACATTCTCGGACTTTGTATCAAGTTGTGCCGTTCTGTAAGACAACTTACTACGATCTCCAGCGGAGGCATGGTGACTGTAGGCAAGACGTAGACGGAATCAGTTGGGAAATCTCCCCTCTGCTCGGTCCGTTCATTGAACCCATTAGCCCACCCTGAGTTCATCACATGTTCTCCTGTATCCTGGTCCAGAACTATGAGGTCTCCTTTGAGGAAGCTGAGGAACCCAGATTCTTCTCCCACTGCAAGAAGAACAACCATTAGTTTGATTTTTTTTTCCCCAAACCCCTTTGGAGTAATTAATCTATCTATATGTTTGCCACTGGGCTGGGCCATTTACTTACCAGGGTTTGGGTTATCTTGGAGAGTGACCACATACTTGGATCTTTTCCTTAGTCCTTCAAGGAAGGTCACCACCAGGTCCCGGATATCCTCTGCATTGTTGGAGGTGAAAGTGTATTCATCGCCTTTAATAGTGGCCAAGGTGAAACTCTGCCCTTGCAGCTTTCCCCCTCTGGGGTGTATTTTTATAGGAGACATAAACAGGAAAGATAATGGCATCAAGAGGCAAAGCCTGGAAAAAGACTGTTTTAGGGTGAGATCACCAGCTAAGTCTTACCTGCTGCTTGACACAGCCGTAATCTCTGGGAAAGAGAGCTCTAAGAGAACCTGCTCCTGTTCATCCACAAAGTACACCCCTGTCCAGTTCACAGCTACAATCACATCATTTTTAGGCAGGCTTGGCCCTGGATTGGAGACAAGACGTACAATCAGCTCATGAAGGGTCTTAGGATACAGAAAATGTGTGCATGTCAAAGGAGGATGCAATGACCAAAAAACTCAGTGTTATTTTTAGTAAGAGAAATAGTGGCAGACTCGTAGCTTAAGCCATTGCTAATGAGGACGCACCAGAAAATAACGTATCTAAAGAAGACCAGCTAGATGGTCCATTAAGTCTTCTTGTCTGTGGAGTCCCTATGTCTCCTTCCTTTTGCTTTGGAACATCCTGTGCTCCAGGGATGTGCTCTACTGACTCACCTGAGAATTTGAAGGCTTCGTAAAACCGAGAAAACAGCAAAGGCCACTTGAAACGTGCAAAATCCACTACCTCTTCCTTGACTTTTTTGGGGTCTGCCCTCTTCTGAGTATAAATTCCCTACAGACAAAGCGAAATACAACCAATATGAAGCACAAACCCAGTTATAGCCAGGAAGAGAGCAAACAAAACCAATTCATGTCATATGAAGATATTGGAACTATTACCAATTTAGTTCTCAATGAGGCTAAGGGCCAAAGTCCTACAGGGACAAGTGATAGGTTGGACAAAGTCCTGGCAAAATTTTGGTTCCCACTTCAGGGAATAATTCAGTTCTGAGAAGGCTGGGCAAGCATCTAGAGTGACCAGTCTGGGTGGGATTCCTCTCAGATAACTCTGCGTTTCCCTAAGGTAGGTGTCTACCTTTCAGCTTGACAGTCCTTTAGCTGGAAACAGACACTCAACAGCCATTAAGCACAGACTTCGAGCTTTGTTTAGAACATCCTCAGATACGCAAGACCTCTCTAAGTAGCTGACAGGGTGATGGGGGACCTGCAAGATCCAACTGAATTGCATCCCTGGGTCTCTGTTGACACTAATGGAAGGTGAGACACACATGGAGATACTTACATTTTAGGGGTCTTAATCTGAAACTGGCTCTTGCTGTTAAATGAATGCCAATTCTCATGCCTGGATGAGTTGTGGGTAATGAGTTATGTTGCTGTGCGAGGGTGTCACAGATGTTCTTATGTAAGTCAGGGAGGTTTTATACAATGCCTGGCACAATCAGGTCCTGACATTGTCTGGAGACATGAACTGCCACTGTAATACAATCAGTAACACCACAATCCTGTGTACCAGGAATAAGACCCCAGAGAGGACATTTTGCTCCTCACAGTGAATCTCTGTAGGTTGTCTTCTGTCAAATCTTGCCTCAAAACCAGTGGTAAAGCTGAATATGGCTAGTACAAAACCTGCCCTTTCTCTTGGATTTAGATTCAGGCCAGGCAAAGAGCTGAGGTATGATGTCTGATGTATGTTTAAAAGGAACACAAAGCTACTGAAGCATGCCTTGGTCCTTGCCAGGTGATCTATTGTCCCCACCTTTTTATGTGCAGCTATAATGAGCTGAGCCCATTTTTCCACTGTTTTTGAAGCTGTGATCTCTCTGTCTGGGATGTAGGATGGAATTAGATTCAGCAGCCTTTCCAGTACCATCTCTGACCCATAGTCCACATAGTACTGCTGGGAAGCCAGTTCTGCCAGATCTTCTTCCTGTGGGAACCAAACAAGCCAAGTTAATGCTGTTACCAGGCCATCACCCCAACATCCTTCCTGCATCACTCAAGGAGCTCTTTCTAGAGGCTGGATGTACTGCTGCTTCACATTGGTGTGGGGATGCTTCCTTTCAGCAGAACTTCACCAGTGCTTTTTGCACATCTAAAGTTCAGGAGATTGACTACTAAAAGCTATGATTAAGCCTTAACATGTTCAGTGACCAACACCATGCAATCCTGTACTCTGTGTGAATATAGAATCATAGAACAGTTTAGGTTGGAAAAGACCTTTAAGATCATTGAGTCCAACCATAAAATCATGTTTGTCCCAGTCTTTCCTTGCAGTACAGTCTGACCCTGATGCCTGCAGTCAGCAGTGGGTGGTTTTGCTAGGGTAGACAGAGTTTAATTATTAAAAACTGCATGTATCCATCATTTCTCATACTTGAGAGGCCCAGCAACTGAAACTCATGTGCATAATGCAGAACTGTAAAATGTCCTTTGCTGTAGCTACATTCCAAGCACTTTGGGGTGAAATAATAGAGCTAGTGACACGATAATAGCACCCAGAGACCAGGAGCAAGAGAAAGGGAGGAAGAAAGGGCAAGACTTCTGATAGGATAAAAGAGCTGCAGTTAATAGATGGGAAAGATGATTTAGTTCCCAAGGTGACTGGACTCTACTGGATCACAGGAGAATGATTAGGGTTGGGGAAGGGAGATATCTTCAGTTTGACACCTGGATGATTTTAAACACAAGCAAACCAAAATGTGATGGACAATGTCAGAGATTTTTATGTCTCGAGATGCTCGTTTCAGTGACACTGGAATAATTCTGTAAGCTCCCAGAGACTCTAGAGGCATAGGTTTCTGCTGCCAGTGTCCCTTCAGCATACGGCAGCATTATTGGGTTTGTATTGCATGGCAGCGGTCTGGGTATGCTGAAAAGCATCTGTCATGTCTAAGGTTTAGCAGGATTCACCAAACAGGATCCTGCTGTGTACTCCTGATCTGGTGATCTAGTTGCAGCATGCTTGTGGCCCTCCAAACTGCGGCTGATGGATGAAGTGGTTGTTCACTCTTACATCCAAAATTTACCAGGAGACACTGCTCACGCAGCACATGGGAGTGTCTGGTCTCTCCCCAGCCAAGAGGATCTGATTCCTGCAGCTCCTGTTTCCCAAGTGAATGCCATAATCCCCAAGACAGCAGGTGTTCAGGGAGGAAGATTTCTCATCCCCTTTCATGAAGCCTAGTGAGACCAGTAGTTGCTTACCTTGTCACACCGGTACTCCCCAAACTTCACCCCTCGCACAATCTGTTGGTAAATGAGATTGGTGGCCACATTGTCCTCACTCGGGTTGTGCCAAGGAGTGAAGATCTCCTTCCTGAAGAAGAGCCGCCATGGTGCATTGCGCTCCTGTGCTCCCTGCTCTTTGGCATACTGCTCACACTGAGACACAGCATCCATCACATGGTCATTGCCACTCCCCAGCGAGGAGACCTAGTCAGGGCAGAGTCAAAAGTGGCATTCACCTGACTAAATGCTGAGCTCTCTAGGTAGAGATAGCTATCTCTGAGTCACTCATCCAGACTTCCTTTCTAATCAAAACAAATCAAATTATCTATTTCTACTAGCCAGCCAAGATTGAATAGGTCTACAGCATAGCTGGGTGAGCTATTTTGCTTTGAGCCCCAGTTTCCCATCCACAATGAAAAGAGAGCATCAACGTGAATTAGCAAAGCCAACAGTACCATTATAAAGTATTGTTTATTTATACTGTGCTTTGAAACATCCTGTCTCAAAGTCATGGACTTGGATCCAATCATATTATGCATCAGAAAAACCCAGAATAAACAGCTGTTAAATTCTGAATAACTCCAAGGAGGGAGATTTCATAGTGTCTCTGCAACCCTGCTCCAATGTTTGACTACTCTTATTGTGAAATGATGCTGGCTTCTGCACTGTAGAAATATTCTCTACTGACCTTGAAGCTGATTTTTACTCTGAGCACAGGGTCCTGCTGCCCTCTGGAAGATATCTGACAGCAAGGAGAACCTCCCTCTTCTTTTATAGGGCTAGTCAGGAACATAATTTAAGACATACCTTGTCAAAAAGTGCAATGTACAGTGAAAAGCCAAATCGGTCCTTCAGGCTGATTTTGTCGGCCAAAGAATTACAGAGCTCTTTAGCAGTTGTTGCAGAGTCGGTCAATAGGGTTTTTGTTGTCCCATCCATAAATGTGACAGGCAGCATGATCGGTTTCTTGGATTTGGTTGCCTAATGGATTAAAGTCAAACTTTATAAAGCCATGTGTATTTCAATCCCATTGAGACTATTTACCTACATACTCTTCCACCCAACTGTGGTAACCATTTTCTAATTCCCGATTCCACTGACTGGCTGCTTTTCAATGCTACCATAACATACTTCTCAACAGGATAAGGTACGGACAGCCACTGGAAGCATTTGGAAGTCCCAGATTTTTTATTTAATACATTCAGTCATCAAAGTGCCCAATCCAGTAAATCCAAGTATGCCTGGGAATGCTCCTGGGCACTGGAGCACAGCTGTCTATGCTAGTAAACCAGCATAGAAAATGAGCAATTATTGCACAAACTGTGCCTGTTCCAGCTATGGCTGTCCCCAAACAAGTCCCAGGGACCATTCTCAGCAGGCAGTTTGCCTGCAGCCTCCTTCATCTGGAAGACAGTTTCCTAGCATACATGGGGGGCTTGCTCCGTGCCAGCTGGCTCCAATGCCTGAGAGCACTCTCGAGCACATTTAATTTACAAGTATTGATGTAGCCAAAGGGACTGATCTTCAACATACTCTGGAGCAAATCCAGGATGCACAGGGAATGCAATATCTTGGAAATAACTGAAAATTCTTGAGATGAATAGGCATTTTGTCACGTTACTTTCTGTCCTGTCAGAGATGTGGTTCCTGGGATAGTGCAAGGCTCAAACCCAGAGCCCCAGCTGCCTGGGGAGGGGGTGGAGGGGCTCGTACCTGCAGTTCCAGCCAGCTGGGTGGCTGCGTCCTTGTCCCGTTTGCAAACGTCCGCCTCAGCCTCTCTTCACAATAGGGAGCATAACCTGGGGGCCCTCCATTGATAAAGTTCCTTAAATACTGTTGGCAGCAGGGAACACATTGGTTAGACCATCGGCTCTAGAGGCCAAGCATTTGCAAAGGTTAAAAAGCAATGTTTTACTGGAGAAAAGCCCTCTGGGACTAAAAGCAGTGATACCGCTCAGGATGTTCCTACATCACGTTGCAGGAAGCTGAGAGAGAGTAGGACAGTCTGCACCCTCGCCTTGTTCTTACACTGCACATTTCTGGCCTCGGTGGAGATAAGATACCAGCCTAGACAGACCTTTGATCGAAGCCAGGGCAGCAGCTTTTCTGTTCCTGCTATTGCTGCTGCTGATTTCTATCTCTGTATTTTAAAGATGTATTATAAAATGTTATTGAGTGTTAGCCAAAAAGATGGGAGTGAATGAAAAAGATGTATAAGTAATGATCCAGGGCAACTGTAAGCAAATGCCACTCAGAATGCTTAGCTGCCAGTACAAAAGATCTTTCACAACAACATTAAACAGGCGTTTCTTTAGTCAGATTTTAAATTGCATTTTAGAAGATCCTAAACCAGAATTTGAAGCACTTCACTGTATGTTAGAAATACAACCATGTTATTGTAGAGAAAATTAAATCCAGTGACTTCCACAATATGAAAGACAATACACTTAAAAATATTATACAAATATCTTGGTCAAAAAGATAGCTAAGTCTAATAGTTCTGTAAATCATGTTTTTCAGAGGCACTTTATAGATAAAGAGTTCTCTGAATGATAACACATAGCTGTTCCTTCAGTAACACAGACTGCTCTATAACACTGTCAGTCCATAAATAACATGGGTAGAGAGACAGATATCTCTGTCAGTTGTAACTTATAGAGATACTCTGAAATAACTAGGTAATACAGCCAGGTTATATGGATAAGAGTTGTTGCAAGTGATTGCAAGCAGCTAATGCTGTGTAAAAGTGTAGTTTTAATTACGTTGTTAACAGTGAACTATGTAATTACATATTTTTTGCATTTCTCCTTCCTTGTGACTGAACCTTTCCACCAAAGTCCATAATTAGTTGAGAGAAAAGTACAAAGAACAGGATTGCTGATGAGTCTTGACCCATGCTTAGCATATGATGCCATAAAGGTGTCTAATGGGATCCAAAATGTGACCTTCATATTTGGGAGCAGGAAAACATATCGAAGACCACCTCATTATCAGATAAATCATTCTCAAAATGTTCAGTTCTAACTGACATTTCTGAAGGTTGTGGAACAACTTTGCTTGGAAGTTGTGCTTGGCAATAGTTTCCTGAAATTCCTCATTTTTTTTTCCGTAATATTGCTGCTATTAAAGTTAGAGCCTAAAGGTTTCATGAGAAAAGTAACCAGGAGTCTGATACAACATTCACTACATGGAAGAGTATAGGAAAGAAATGCTGAGACAGTTACCCTTATATGCTTTTCCTTTTATTAAAATGGTGGATAATTACTGCTAAATGAGGAGTCAGGGCATCAGTTGAAAAGGACATGAGGTTAACAAAATGTCATCTAGCTAACTGGCTGATAGACAACACGTGGCTATCGTACATTCAGTGGTAGCTATTGCATGGTTAAAGCAGTAGTCAGCGAACTCCTAGTAAATCAGATTTCGGCTGACTACTAACTCCTGAAAACATGGTATTAATAGATTAAGAGTCTGAGAGTAAGGTCTGGACTAACATGGATTTTGTTTCCCAGCCCAGAACGGACTGGACTAGGTGGCCTGGGTTAATGTAGCTTCAAAACAGAAAAGTTCACTGAGCTTCAACAAACTTTGAACATTCCTCTGCTTTTCACAAAACAAAAAAGTGAGTCTGGATGGGAACATATGTGGTTAAGGGGCAGAGTTAACATTTCATCATGAGAATGCTTTATCTCAAAACTTAACATTTTAAGATGGAAGGTGTCAATAATGTCCCCATGGATAACTACAGGGCTTTCAGAGGAGCTCTGAGACATTGCCCATGTCACTGCCTGTGTGCTGCTGTTTGCAGGGCTGGGGCCTTGAAAGGTAACCACAGTGTAGGCTGCTGCAAGTGTTGTTTGCACTCATACTTGAGGAGCTTCAGTCACCACAGGCTGCCTATCATCTCCAACAGCCTAAGGTGCGAAAGTGTGATGAATAAGAGCAGAATTAGTATAAACCCGCTCTGAAGCTGTTGGGAATATTGCCACGTATTTCAGCATGGACCATAATTTGGGGCAGAGGTACATGTGAAACACTGGCACAGGTTTCCCAGGGAGGTTGCAGATACACCATCCCTGGAAACATTCCAGGTCAGGTTGGATGGGGCTCTGAGCAACTTGATCTAGTTAATGTCCCTGCTCATTGCAGGGGGTTGGACTAGATGACCTTTAAAGGCCCCTTCCAACCCAAACTATTCTATGATTCTATGTCTGAGTCTCCAGAGCTACCCATAAATTATTTCTGAGAAGTGCTTCACTCACCTAAAATAATCTTCTGCTATTAAAGATTTAAACCCACACAGCCTCCTGTGGCATACTTTCTCAGATCTCATTTCCAGACATAATTTAATTTTCTGCCACTTTGCCAGTGATTTATCTGCTTTATTAGATTTCATACTGCAAGGCCTGGGGATGAAGGAGGGATCTCTATTCTTGGCTTCAGCTCTTTCACTGCTGATGACCCGGTACCTGATCTGATATCTATGGAAATTAATGGAACATCTTTATCTCTAGCAGGCTTGGGAGCAGTTCCAGGCTTCAACATTAAAAAATCTGAGGGACAAAGGAGGTCTTGTATCATGGAAAAGCAAAGACACAGTGCTGAGCCCTTTGCCCTGAGCCAGCCAAACTCTTAGGTATGGGATTAACTTGAGCAGTCCAGTGGGTGTTAGTCGGACTCTAGGTGTATAGCTCATTTGGAAGGCAAACTGTTCAAATCTAGGCAACAAAACTGCCCAGAAAAAAAGAAAATCCTTAAGAACAACTTGATTTTCAAAAGTGTCAGCCACTTAGCATCTCCCACTGACTTCAGTCCTGCTGATCCACAGTGCTTCTGAAGACACATTGCATGTCATCTCTCATGTGGCTGTTTAGAGTTGGACATTTTCAATATGACACATGGTGGGGCAAGTTGTAGCATGCAGAGAGCAACTATGCAAACATACTTCCAGATAAATTAAACCCTTCCCTTTCTATGTGTAATTTTTTATATTAAGTTACATTTATAATGAGCTGTGTAGTGCTATTCCTTACCAATTTTGTTAGAGTACATGCCTGAGGTCATACTGTCAAAGCCAGTAGATGTTTGAATGAATGCATAGACCTTTGCATGTGAGAAATAGGGGAGAAATGTGGGTTATTCTGGGTGTGCAAATTCCATTTGCAGCCTCCCACAATCAACTTTCCTGCCAGAAGTCACTTAATCACATCTTCACACATCTACAGTGCAGAAGGCATCATCTGAACTGGTTGCCTATGCTCCCTTTAGAGTCACAGGAAAGAGAGAGTCACTTCGCAGCAGTCACTCGTCTGATCACTTTAGACATTGAACTTGGGAACACACACACTTTTCTTGGGAACTTTATGTCATTTTCATTCCTGGCAAAGATCAAGACCAGGATTCCCTTTACTGTGAAACCCAAGAAAAAAGCTGGTCCCATGGATGGAAAAGAAAATGTACTGGCAGATAATTCATGAGACAAATATCATCTACAATTTACCTTTACAAACTTCTCAGAAGGAGCAAAGCATCCCACACAGAGGGACATCAGGATCCAACCCCTGGCATGGCTGCTTTTGGATGGGTTCTGGGTCAGCTGCTTGCAGATTTGACAATAGATTTCATCCCTGCAATAGGAATAAAAAAAGCATTAGTTAACTAGGTAGTGGTTTTCAACACAGACAGAGAGAGAGACAGATCCTGTCTGCATGTGACTGGTAGTTAAAAGTTCACTTTAGCATCACAAGGATATTAATTTAACTGCCCTAATGACGGTCACCCTGATTGTTGCAGTGTCTCTAAAATGCCATCCATCACCAGTCCTATAATGTCTGCTGAGTATTCCCTGTGCTTCAGCTGAGATTTCCCATAGCTGACTGACACAGCTTAGAGGAAGGAATTAAAAGGGAGTCTCAAGGTTCAAGGAAGCTCAATGTCACCTCTGGATGATTGAGTCTATTCTGGCTTCTTACAAAGATTTCCTGGAAATACCAATAGAGTCTCCTAAACTAACTTTCATAGAGGGACATCAACTGGGAGTCTTCGTTTGCTGGCTGTTCCTCTTGAGACACCGGAATTTGCTTTGTGGAAGTGTTGAGAACTATCAGCTCCAGCGGACATCAAGGTTTGTCCAGCTCTTATGACCAAACAGGTACGTACATTACTAGGTATCTCAATTTGGGATTTAATGTCCACTTTTGACTTTAACCTTAGTTCTCTACATGTAAAATGAGGGATAACAGTACTTTCTCATTGTGCTGGTTTTGGCTGGGATAGAGTTAATTTTCTTCAGAGTAGCTAGTATGGGGCTATGTTTTGGGTTTGTGCTGAAAACAGTGTTGATAACACAGGGATGTTTTTGTTATTGCTGAGCAGTGCTTACACAGAGTCAAGGCCTTTTCTGCTCCTCACCCCACCCCACCAGCGAGCAGGCTGGGGGTGCACGAGAAGCTGGGAGGGGACACAGAGGGGACAGCTGACCCCAACTGACCAAAGGGATATCCCATACCATATGGCATCATGCTCAGCATATAAAGCTGGAGGAAGAAGGAGAAAGGGGGGGACGTTCAGAGTGATGGCATTTGTCTTCCCAAGTAACCATTACGCATGATGGAGCCCTGCTTTCCTGGAGATGGCTGAGCACCTGCCTGCCAATGGGAAGTAGTGAATGAATTCCTTGTTTTGCTTTGTTTGCGTGCACAGCTTTTGCTTTGCCTGTTAAACTGTCTTTATCTCAACACACGCGTTTTCTCACTTTTACCCTTCTGATTCTCTCCCCCATCCCACCGGGGGGGCAGTGAGTGAGCGGCTGGGTGGTGCTTGGTTGCCGGCTGGGGTTAGACCACAACAGTCTTTTTGGTGCCCAGCATGGGTCTCAAAGGGTTCGAGATAATGACAGTTTGATTGGAACGTGCTAGATCAAATTCATGGCTGTTATTGCCGTTTAGCTATTAATCGGCAGGCTCCTATGCTTGCCTTGGGGCTTGCTTGCCTTACTGTACATTAGAGTCTAGTGCTCGGTAGTGGCTGCTTTTTGCTTTCGCTGCTTGCTGTACTGCTGTACTGCTCATGATCTTACTCTGCTGTGCCTGGGAACATTCTGATAACAGCAATGGCGATGCACCTGGGCTGGCAGATGGCCAGGGCATCGCTGCTGTTTCTGTGCTGCTGGACTGGATGGGCTGGAACTCCAGTGTGAACTCCAGTTGAAGGGACTGTGACCTGTGGATGAGTCCACATGGGAGCAGGACACCCTGAACCATCTTTGGCCATGGATAAGTCCATGTCAGAGCAGGTATGTCTTGAAGCATCTGTGGTCATGTCTGGTCTAAAGGGACCAGGGGTGGAGACTGGGAGGCTACAAAAATGTTAACCAACCTGTTACACTGACAAACCCCATGGGAAAGCCCATGGGACACTACCAGGTCTGCCTTCAGAGCAGACTTTGTGCAGAAAAGTAAGTCTAAGGGTTTCATGGTGAACTGGGGGGATAAAAAGAAAATTAAAGAAGCTCACCATCAGATGAGGATGCCTACCCTGTTCCTGGAGTGAGCAGATAGGTGTAAGTGAAAAGATTGTGAGACTACAAAAACAAGGACTGTATTATAACACACACATAAATGGCTCAAACCAAAGATGTGCAGTTGGCCTTAATTTGGCACTTTCCAATTTTTCAATGCTTAATTTAGCAACTGAAATGAGTTTGAGTTTTTCATTAGTATACCATTAAAATTATTCACACAAACAAAAGAGATCTAAATGGTCAGATAGAAAACTAAGGGTAGTGAACAACAAGAGAGAGCATTAAAAAGCCAATCCAGTAGCCACTAGCACTTTCAGAAGCATTTGAGTCCCTCTGCGTGGTCTTTCCATCAGGCCAGATATGGACAGTAAGGAATATGATCTAGCCCAGCCCATATTATACAACACAACCAGAAATATTATATAATGAGAGCTTTGTAAAGCTGCATACAACAGCAAAATCATTTAGACAAGAATAGCTCAAGGAAGAAGGAATGAAAAGAATGGTATGTTCATGCCGTTGTCTTGATTTCTAACCTTAAGGCTGGCCTGAGGATGCCATTACCAATAATGAAATGGAGCTTCTCCAGGTTGGAGGTGGGTCGGTCTTCAAGCATGCTATTACCCTGGAGCGTGGACTCACCATCGTGAAGTCTCTTTGTCACCTGCCAACCAGACACATTGCTCTCTTTCAGTACAGCCAGTTACTATGTTCCCCCCACCCCCATCCCAAATGTGCGGTGCTCCCCCAGGAGGACTCCTCCACCAGCCAGGAGGGGTCTCAGAAGTTCTCAGTCTAGCGCTTTATCAGTGATGGGAGGGTGTGACTTTGTTGGCTTTAATCACATATGGGTGAAGCTGAAAATAGTGCTGTCTAGTCACACTCCCACCTGCTTGGTCTTTGCCCAGGGTTTCTATGTTGGCACCCTTGCATTCCAGCTCTGAGCTGGTCCTGCATCTGGGAAAGGGCCACCAAGGATCTTTGGAATAACCCCAGCTTATTGCCAAGGAAGGCCTGTCCCTTTAACTCAGTTATATTAAAAAAAATATTAAACCACTGACAGAATGGACCCACTCCCCATGCTAATGATGCAGCCAAAAGCACATAAGCATGGTGCTGTTTGTGAAAACAAGGATGGCATTCATCCACCTACCAGCTCTCTGTCTCAGCTAGTCAACCCAGTCTCCATTTAGGGCCACTGGAGAAAGATGGGCATTTCTAGAGTGTGTTCAGAGCCACATTAGGGTAAGCTGGATTGGGTCTTATTTCTTCTCACTGACCCTAAAGGGAAGGAGGGTGACTATCTCAGAGAGCAATCTTCATGCTCTCAGGCAGCTACAGCCAGATGAGATGGTGCCTGCTCTGGAAGTGGACAAGGCAGGGTGTAAAAGAAGGCTGAATCCATGTCTTTGCATTGCTTTCATCTCTCCGCCCCCTGCTCCCCAAAAGATTTATTGCTCCTCAGTCTTTTGGGATGGGATTTTCAAAAGCTCTCGGCTTGGGCTAACTGCTCCCATGGGGAGTTTTGCCCTTGGCACTGGAGGGAAGCAAAGGATGGGTAAGCGCTTTTGGAGACCCCACCTCTGCTACCTACACCACAGTGGAGGGCAGGAAGCTAAAAGCAGGGATAACATTCAGACCATCACAGAGTGGTGGGAGGTATCAGCAGCTGGATGGAGGGCTGTGAAAGAGGGGAGGGAAGGTGCTGGATGGATGGAGAACGGGAGCCGAGGGGAGGCCGGCGCGAGGTGCAGAATGACTCAAGGAGACACGGGAAGCCAACCTTTCCCCTTAAACACTCCTTAAATCTTTCAGGCAGAGAGACAGGTAGCGCCAAACCCAGAGGAGGGCTGGTTCTATGTTGTCTAGGGAAAAGCAGAAGAGAGTCAGAGAGGGCTGCAGACAATCCAACGGCACTTGTGCTGCCAGGCGGCCATGCGTCTCCTCTCACCTCCTCCGTCAGTTTGGATTTCTTCTTGAGTGTTAAGGAGACCAGTTTGTGCCGCACACTGTTCTTCTTGTGCCCATCAATGTGAGTACTCTGCAAAGCAAGAGGCGTGGATGCAATGCAGTGAGACACAGAGCCCTGCTGAGAATCCTGGGCAGAGTGAGATATTTCAGAGGCTGGTGGGAACCAGAAGTGTGGACCCGTATTCCTGTGCCCCCTGTTAACCCAGGTCTGCCTCTGATTTTTGCAGATACCCTCTAATAAATGAGCCCCCACCAGGTCAAAATTACATATTGGGGATGCCCGAAAAGAGTTATGTTGAATACGTGGCTGACTTCTAGTCAACCTGGGTCCACCCAGTTCTGCTGATGCCATTCAGGCTTGTTCCTACATTGCAAATGAGATGAGAAAGACCACTCTCTGAGATGAGCCATTTGCACAGCACATCTGAGCCCTGGAAGTCATCTAGCCAGGGATTCATGGACAGGTAGTTACCCATTGTGGTTTTATCACTGTTAACCAGCTCTGTGCTCTAGCAGATTTCCCAGAAGAATAAATTTGCTGTGGGAAAGACCTAGGCACCGACTACATTTCATCAAGTTACTGTTGCCTTTCTACTTTTATACCAACTTTATGCCAGCTGTGGGATTTCCACTCATGGACATTGGAACAGGCTGACCAGAGAGGTGAAGTCACCATCCCTAGAGGTGTTAAAAAAATGGGTAGATGTGGCACCTTGGGACATGGTTTAGTAGGCATGGTGGTGTTGGGTTGATGGTTGGACTGATGATCTTAGAGGTGCTTTCCAACCTTAATGATTCCTAGTTTTTACTTTCATTAAAAAAGAATCCAGCCACCAAGCCAGGAAACATGAAATTGCTACTCTCCCCTTAACTGGTTTAGTGTGGACTTGGTAGTGTTAGGTTAATGATTGGACTGGATGATCTTAAAGGTCTTTTCCAACCTAAAGGATTCTATGATTCTGTGATTCTAAAACGGCTTGAATAATCACTTCACTTTTGACCCAGTTAACCTCTCCCTATCTAAACAGCTTTGAAAACACTGTGATTTTACACCAGATCAACACTTTGAGTCCTGCAGCTGTGATGGTTTATATCCATTATAAAGCCAAGCTGGTATTGTAAACTTGGATTTGCATATCATCACGCTCAGAGTCAGCTCAGCTGTCTTTCTGCACGGTTGTGCAGCTGCAAAGCAGATGTAACCACACCCAAAAATGACAGCTTAAATTTTCCTTCTCTTCTGTACTGCCTGATGTCTCAATTGGTCAAAATATGCCTTTTTTTTTGTAGTAAACAAGCAAGAAATGATAGGTAGAAGGAATGAAAGGTTGTTCTTGGTGTATACTTTTACAGAATTACAATCCAGATGAGGCTACTCTCCTTCTCAGGTAATTCATTGAAAGTGCTGAATGATATAATAATCTGTAAAAACTAGGAAATTTGTTAATTTAAATCTGCAAATGATGCAGGGACTTGCCCAGAAGATACTGCAGAAAACTTCTTGAAAATGCAACAGTGCCACCTAGAAAATCCCAATACGAGGTAATATCTTGTCCTATTGAATAAAGCGATTGCCAAAGATGAAACTATATGAGCTCTATGGACAGTGATTTATCCAGGACAATGTATTGTCTGGGAGGGGTCCTAAGAAGAGTCCTCCAGTGACATCCCAGAATGCACTGAGGATGCAACAGGGATTTTTTTTTTTCTTTTTTTTTCATTTCCACAGCTTAATCCCCTGGTAACTCTTTACTTCCTGCTCCAAGATTAAGGGCACATTTTTAATGTAGTCTCTTCTGACCCAGGCCAGATCAAAAAGAAATCCCTAAATGAGAGACTAATGACACAGGACATGGCACTCTCCCCATGTGTTTCTGCCCTACAAGGAAGAGGAGAGAGATCATGAGGTATCAGGGCACTTCCTTTACTGTATTGCTGGGGAATATTAAGTTATCCCTGTGAAGAAGAAGGGACAGGATCAACACCTGACACACGGGTAATTATCCCTTCATAGCATCATTGCAAATAAAATCAACAAACTGATTGCCTGCAGCAAAACCCACAAGTCATTTCTTTCCAACATGTTTCAATATCCAACACCTAATAATAGCGTCTCTTTTACAGCCACAGCAGTTACCTCTCCTTCTCCCTGCAGAGCCTGCAGTTCTTTCTTATAGGTCTTTTTCCCAAGAGTCTCATAGATTTTTGTCATAACTGGTATCTTCTCACCACCATCACTCATAGCTGTATGATATTTCGGCTCAGGGAGGTCTCCCATGAAACGGAGGACAGTGATCCATACAGCAAGCGCTGCCTGTTGAAAGGAAAGACTAACTCCATTAGCTCGCACCAGGACAGTGGAGGGGGTGGTCAAGCCATGCTGAATCCATCAGGACCGCCACTGTGGTCCCTCTGTACATCTGCAGGAGATAAAACACTTTCCTGCATCACACACAACAGTTTTGCCTGCAGCATACATCCCATCTGAGCAAGCCTGGCAGGCTGGTGGCTGGGACCACAAATTCAGGCTGTGTTCATGCCATTGTGAGTCTGTTTGTGCACCCTACAAGGGTTTGCTTCTTGGCTAGGAGATGCCAGCCTTATAGAGGGGCAATGACTGGCAGCTCCTAACCCACTGCAGAGAAGAAGGAGAACCACAGTGGAGGCAAGTTCATGGCCAATGTAACGTTCATTAGAGCCATGCAGGTTCAGTACAGTTCTGCTCTTGTACTGCTGACTATAAGACAAACGTTTCTTCTCTGCTAGCTCTGCACTGGTGCATATGACAAGGTAAGAAGCAACTTTTCCAGCTGCTGAGTAGCAGCTTTACAAGCAGTACTTGCTCAACAATTTTCATTGTCCATGCCCTGAGCCCAGAGCACTTCATTAATTGTCTTAACACAAATATCAGATTACAGAGATGGACTCACTCCTCTAATGCTACATCCCTCTCATGTTCGTTGTCTTGTCAGTGCTCAAAGCATGCTGGTGGGACAGTGTCTACTGACACACGTGCAGCAGATGAGAGCTGTGCTCTCCACCGAACCACAAGCACACCAGTGTATCCCAAAGCGAAACTGCTGGTGCCCTTTGGCTGAAGGGTTCCCCAAGCTTGCTCCAGCCCACCCTGCCCTGCTCAAGGTTTTTCATCCCCTTCCTCACCAACTGGTCTCCTTCATCTTCATGGTACAAGAGAGGCTGCTTGAGAGGCCGGCGGATGTAGGTGTGTGTCGTCGTGCCCTGGAAATACGTGGCGGCAAACTTGGCAAATTTGTACTCCGAGAGATCTTCCTCCTCTTCCTCAGGGAGAGGCAATGCGGCATCCAGGTCCTCTTCCTCCAGCTCCTTCTGGGCTCGCTCAAGATCCTGGTGGAGAAGGACATGTCAGGCACTCAGCATGGCTTTAGATACGGAACTACCCTTTCCCTCTGGGCCTGACTTTTCTGTCTGTCTGATTTCCATCCCAAAAGGAAAAGCCAGCTGGAGGGAAAACCATGAAATATAATTCCGGAGCCCATGCAAAGCCCAAGTCCTGAAGGACATGCCTGCGTCCAGGAATGTTCCCAGAGCAGTAGGAGAAGCAACAAGGATGGCTCAGCTGCATGGGGAAAAGGTGTCCAAGAGCTAAATGCTGTGAGCCGTGATGAACCACGAAGGAAAAGATCTCAAAGGCCACAGGTCCTCAATGATCTTATTGTGATACTGCTCTCCACCATTTGGTAGCCCCAGAGAAAGCCTGCACACTGCCTGCCTGTCCCCAGCCACAGCACAGTAGCCCTTTGAGGCCACACAGAGAGAATGTTCTTGAAGGAAGCCTTCAGACACCCACTTTTGTATTGCCATACTCTCCCCTAATTCATTAATGTGTTGCTAAAGCCTTTCATGTGATAGCCAGGCTCATGTATGTCTCCAGTACCTCGAAGCCATTGGGTGCCTGTCCTTCCTGGCCAGGCAGGGAGGAGGTCGTCCCCAGGAATCCAAACATTTTGTCCACCATTTCTGAGTCGTTCACTGGCTCATTGCGAGCTTTCTCCATTTTTTCTAAAAGTTCTTTCTTCCGACGTGCTTCCTCCTTCTCCTTTACTTCTCTCTCTGCATCTTCCCGTGCCAGCTGGGCCAGGCGCACCTGCAAGAGGACAAGTACAGTGGCTGAACTGTTCCATCCAAAGAGATGGCACTGAATTCTGCAGGGCCTGGCTTTAGAAAAGCAGACTGCCCAGTGCTTGGGACACTATACCAGCATTGTGACTTGGAGCAAATCAGTGATATGTCCATGCCTCAGTTTCCTAACTGCAGAAGGACAAAGCAAGAGCATTTTTTCCTTCCTTAGTGCCTGTTGAGGGGGTTTGGTCCATGCACAGAGACTCTCACTGACCTTATTTGTTTCTTTTATACAACCACCATGTATGTGCACACACACACAGAGTGTCCCAGTTCCCCCTTCAGCCTTTATAGAATAGCAAAAGCAAGTGAATAATAACCGTAACCTCTGGCATTC